AGGAGGAGGAGGAGGAGGAGGAGGAGGAGGAGGAGGAGGAGGAGGAGGAGGTGGTGGTGGTGGTGGTGGTAGAGGAGGAGGAGGAGGAGGAGGAGGAGGAGGAGGAGGTGGTGGTGGTGGTGGTAGAGGAGGAGGAGGAGGAAGAGGAGGAGGAGGAGGTGGTAGAGGAGGAGGAGGAGGAGGAGGAGGGGGTGGAGGAGGAGGAGGAGGCTGGAGGAGGGGGTGGTGGAGGAGGTGGTGGTGGAGGAGGAGGAGGAGGCTGGAGGAGGAGGAGGCTGGAGGAGGAGGAAGAGGAGGAGGAGGAGGAGGAGGAGGAGGGGGGGTGGAGGAGGAGGGGGTGGAGGAGGAGGAGGAGGAGGAGGAGGAGGAGGAGGAGGAGGAGGAGGAGGTAGAGGAGGAGGAGGAGGTGGAGGCTGGAGGAGGGGGTGGTAGAGGAGGAGGAGGAGGAGGAGGAAAAGAAGAAGAAAGAGAAGGAGAAGCAGGAGAAAAGGAGAAAAGGGAGGAAGAGGAGAAGAAGGAGAAGAAGAAGGAGAAGGAGAGGGATAACAGGAAGAGGGGAAGGAGGTGGAGAAAGAGGAGGAGGAGGAGGAGGAGGACGATGCAAATGCAAATAGTATCCCTTTTCCGGAGCCCTGAAGAGACAGCACGTAGGAGGAAGAAGGAAGGGAGCAAGAAATAAGAAGAACAGGAGAAAGAGAAAGACAAAGACAAAGAAGAAGAAGAGAAGGAGGAAAGGATAGAAAGGGAATGAGAAAAGTTAGATAAGACGAAAGACAAGAAGAGAAATGAGACAAAGGGTAAAGGACGGATAATGAAAAACAAACAGAAAGGGAGACATATACAACGTTAAATGGAAAATACAATAAAGAAGAAAAAGTGAAAAAGAAACAAAACAAGAAAGACAAAGAGTATTTCACAATAAAAAGTAAAAAAAAAAAAAAAAAAAAAAAAAATTGTTCCCTCGTTGCAAAGATGTTGCATATGTGACATAAAAATCTCGGTCTTTATTCAATCAACCTTAAAGTACGCAACTTTGGCCCTTAATGAAAAACTTTGGAAGATTTTAATTTCTTTGGATCTTTTAATAAAGAATATGTGCGTGGAATTACTTACATGTACTGTACTCTTGAGAATGTGTACGGTATACTGTGTATGAAGAGCGAGTTTGTGTACGTGTATGTATGTCGGCTTTTGGTGTATGAATCTATTTGTTTACATAGATGTAAACGCGTTAATGTATGTATTGGTATACATGTGTGGATATATGTACGCATACATATACATACATTATATATATATGTATTTTGTGTATAAACATGCATGAAAATATATTAGCATATATATGTGCACATAATGACATATACACTCACACAATCGCAAATATGCATGCATCCATATATGCAACAAGCACACATACACCGCCAGCACCTGAGGCACACGCACACGACAAACAAAAGAAACAAAGAAAGAGGCAATCAACCAAACAAAGACATAGCATCGCATAAAGGGAGATTTCACCGGCCCAAAAAAATCCTCCTTTCTCGAGACCAAATCAGAACGAGATTAACCCTTTAGAATCCCGGTTCTGGAACGTTCCAAGATAGGGTGGAAGGTAAGGGGAGAGGGGAGAGGGGAGGGAAGGTAAGGGGAGAGGGGAGAGGGGAGGGAAGAGAGGGGAGGGAAGGTAAGGGGAGAGGGGAGAGGGGAGGGAAGAGAGGGGAGAGGGGAGGGAAGAGAGGGGAGAGGGGAGAGGGGAGAGGGAAGAGAGGGGAGGAAAGAGGGAAGAGAGGGGAGAGGGGAGAGGGGAGGGAAGAGGGGAGAGAGGGTAGAGAGAAAAGAGGGGAGAGGGGAGGGAAGGTAAGGGGAGAGGGGAGAGGGAAGAGAGGGGAGAGGGGAGGGAAGAGAGGGGAGAGGGGAGGGAAGAGAGGGGAGAGGGGAGAGGGGAGAGGGAAGAGAGGGGAGGAACGAGGAAGAGAGGGGAGAGGGGAGAAGGGAGGGAAGAGAGGGGAGAGGGGAGAAGGAAGAGGGGAGAGGGAAAAGAGGGAGAGGGAGGGGAAAGAGAAATGCAAAAAGCAAAGTGGCAA